GGGCCAGTGAACGTGGGCCTCCCGACCCACAGGGGAAGAACAGGGCTCTGACCTGGATGGCAGAAGCACGAGAGGGAGCAGATGAGGGTCCAACTGTCACCGCTAAATGCTCAGGACGCTGCTCGCCGATGACGTTTCTGCAGGTCAGGGTGGGCAGGGGTCAGGGTGGGCAGGGGTCAGGGTGGGCAGGGGTCAGGATGGGCAGGGGTCAGTGAGCAGACTCCAGGCTTCCCGCTAGGAGGCTGCCACTGTGGGTGGGCATTGGTGAGGCAGAGCTTCTCCCGCTGGGTGAGGGGGACTAGCGGGGTCCTCCCCAAGGCCTCTGACCACTGACCTTCACACGTCCTTGTCTTCTGTCTGCAGGTGATTCTGGGGCAGGCACAGCTCCTAGAGCACTGGATCAGCTGGTGGAAATGTCCCAGAACAAAGGAACGGGGTAATTAGCAGCTGTTGATTGATCTGGGCATGAGGGCGACTGTGCTTGTAGTGACAATAGAACTTAATTAAAATCAGCTGGTTTGGCAGCTATTGAGATCCGCCTTGATCTCTGGTGCTCCACGCGGCCTCCTCTGTGTTACCAACAGGGCCTGAAATTCGAGGCTTGTTTTTGGGCGGCGTGATGTGCCCGCTGCGGTGTGGGAAGATGATCGTGTCGATTTCCCTCTGAAACTTATTTTCACAAACTGTCAGAATGGGCTTGTTATATTTATCCCTTAAATCATTAGGGAGTAATAATTAGACCAAAAATGGTTTTGAACGTTTCTGTACTACTAATTATTTTTAGCTTGAAGCCGCTGCTGATCATTGGTTTTGGGGGGTCAGGATGTAGAACTGTCTGAGGAGATTCTAAATAAAAGGGCGCCTTGTGTGCTTGGCCAGAGGAGGAGGATTTTTAGCGCGTGGCTGAGGCTGGTGGCAGGTTAGCAGGGAGGTAGGATGCAGGGGAGCAGGGAGATTTGCTTTGGGTCTCACTGGCTGGCAACAGTAGCTATCTTCCATGTGAGGCTCCTTTTCATTGTTTCACTGTGTGAACTTATTTAATCCCTGCAGCAGGTTCCATTGCCCTTCTCCTCGGCAGACGGGCCCATCAGGCAGCTCACCCAAAGTTCAGTAGCCAGGCAGTTCTAGAACCAGGACTGGAGGCCGTGCAAGACTCTAGAGCCCACGTTTTGAACCACTCTGCATACCGCTTCTGTTTCTTAAGCACCTACTATGCTCTGTCCCAAACAGATACTTGCCCAACAAAACCCTGACTTCAAGGCAGGTGCCGTCGTGACACAGAAGGGGAGACAAAGCCCAGAGAGTTCAGGATCTGCTCCGTGTGGTTCCTTGGGCCACTCACTCGGCGTCAAGGTGATCATCAGAAGACAAATGCGGCTCTGGTTCTGATGTGTGAATTTGGGGCAGAGACACACAAGAAACAAGAAGATATCAGATGGTAAGTGTCAGAATCAAAACAAGATGGTGTCATGGGGACTAAGGGACTTAGATAGGACTTAGGGAGGGCCCCTGGGTAGGGAACAGTCGGAGCCAGCCAGGGAAAGCCAAGAGGAAGAGCATTCCAGGAGGGGGGAGTGAATGCCCAGGTGTGAGCCCAGTGGGAGGCAAGAGCGTGCAGAGGGAGGCCAGGGGGAGGAGGATGGGGCAGAGTGGAGGGC